GTGATTTTTCCAGTGCCGCACAGTGGATCGAGTCCATGGGAGAGGTCAGACAAAATTTAGAAACTTTAAAAGCTTATAACTCCGTTCATACAAAACTTTGAGGTCTTAAAAATGGTTCCATTGGTTTTCTTGTGAAATTTTCTTTCAGATACACCCCTTACACTTTAAAATGTGACGAAATAAACACCGAAATTCTCAGTTTCAGTCAAAAATTTCATGTCCGACTTTTCTAATCGACTCGATCCACTGTGTGCCGTGACCTGCCCTAAGCATAATATTTGCGAACTGATAGTGCACTAATTCCTTGACTTAATTCAAACAAACCAGCCATCGAACTCAATTGTAGGCACAGGTAGCCGATTTAAATTGGCGTGCAGAGGCCGAATCTGCGTATTATTATCTCTTCCTGACCTATTTCATTCGTTTTTAGTAAAATTCACGTCGTATTTTGAGGAGAAATTCTACTAACAAGATTACTGTTTCGCCTCAAAGTTCGAAAATTAATTATGTAATGAGCTTATTGGTAATTTTTCATAATTCAAGTTGAAACGTTCATTTCGACCCCTCATGTTTCATGCCTCCAATTATTGAAACTCATGTTCTAACGGACCTTATTCTCAAATACTTCACTACCAATCTGGGTTATCACTCCTGATTTTTTTGTATGATTCGGTAATCTTCTGAACAATCTTAATCTAATTGGAGCGAAAGATTTCACCTTAGTTTAGAAAAATTAAATACGTATGTGTTAGCTCTCATTTTCGTTATGAATCGTAGGCCCACAGATTTGGCAACATCTCACATACGCCAATTAATCATCATCAAAAGTGCCTCTCTGTGCGCGATTATCAGTAGGTAATCGGAAATCTCGGCTATGTTTCCGTCGTTAGGTCGCTATTATGACGGTAATGGTCTGCTGACGTCATTCTGGACGTATGACATTGTGCTTCTCCGAAAATAACATTTAAAACGAACGCAAGGATGAAAGTAATTCTCGACGGTGTCCACGATTGTTTGTTCGTATGGTGAACCTCTCTTAAAAATGGCCGGAAAAAATCCCAAGCGTATCTATCTGAAGTCGAAACGTCCTAATCGCTGGATGAGAAGAAGAATAATATTTTACACAGCCGGATGCATTATGTGCGAGTTCGAGGTATTTTTTTAGCATTTTTTGTCCGTGGTACTTTTGAAGAGTCAAAAATCTTTTCTGTTCAAGAGTTTGGAATTTTACACCTCCCTGGAGGATGTGGATTCCTTCTCACCCATCTTGCGCTCTTTCGTTACCTGAAGTTGTAACGTCAAAGTTGCAACGTTAAAGTTGTATCGTAAGTTTGCAACATTAAAGTTACAACGCTGAAGGTGCAACGTTAAAGTTGTAACGTAAGTTTGCAACGTTAAAGTTGTAACGTAAGTTTGCAACGTTAAAGTTGTAACGTAAGTTTGCAACGTTAAAGTTGTAACGTAAGTTTGCAACGTAAAAGTTGTTAAACTGTCGCGGGAAAGGCCCGATTTTACAACCATTTGTCACCCATAATTTCCGATCACAGCAAAAGTGACCGTACTTTTTTTTCGGAAATTCTGATTTCGGAAGGATATTTTTCTTAGTCTGAACGTCTTTCCTAAATTAAGCGAGGCATTTTGATACGACCGAACTTAACTTCCGGATACAGTGTAGTAAGTACTTGCTTCCTTCCATAGCCTTGTCTATGGTGTGATCATAGAGGTGTAGAACCAGGCTTTGAAAATCCCGTCCCGAGATTAACGGTGGGGGCGGCTATTCGGAGAAACCAGGAAAAGTCAAAGATGAGGATTAATTTGACCCTAAACTGTGGGGAAAATCGCTTTCATAAAAATTTAGAGCTTCCACATCAACTCGACTCAGAGATTTGCGGATTAATCTACGAAATCCACGGGCTTATCGTCGCACAGAGTAGATCAAGTAAACCAGAGAGTTCCGACTTGAAATTTTTGACTGAAACTCCAAATGATGTTTACCTCGTCACATTTTAATTTTTAAGGAGTGGCTCTAGAGGGAAATTTCACGAAAAAACCGATGGAACCAATTTTGGAACTTCAAAGTTTGTATAAACGGAGTTATTATCGTTCGAAGTTTTCAAATTTTGTCCGACCTCTCCCATTGACTCGATCCACCGTGCGTCGTATTTCAGACGAAAAAAGAGTAACCATATTTCATAACCGCTAAGAGTTCCTTCGAAAATTGTACGTTAACTCAAAAACTGTCAGGAATTTTTAAATTAAAATTTCACTGGTTTTCTCCTGATTGTGTACCCCGCAAAAAATCAGCCAATTTTTTAAGTCAGTTTTGCAACCTTGGAGCGGGGTTACGTCCTTTCGTGTAGAAAACAACGATGTGTGTGATTTCGGCTCGGTTCCATCACCTCTCGTTTATGGACTAAGCCTCTCGTTAAAATTTGGCAAGCTCTCTGGGCACCTGTTAAAAAGTTCGTTCAGACTCAAAGTTCCGAAATGTCTCACCAGAATCAAAAATTTCATCCGGACCGTAAACTGTCTCGTTCAAACCCTAAAATCCCCAAAATTAGCTTTAAAAGTTTTGCTTCGTCAAGAATTTTTCGACCAAAGGCGGTAGAACCAACCCTGAGTCAGGGTAAAGATGAAGATCCTTCAGTGTAGAAACTCAGATCATTGAACCCAGCGAAGGCACCGAACCAGAGTGTCAACGAGTCCGGAATTAGCACTGATTTTTTAATAGTGGTCCGGAACTACTGGAAAAGTGCGGAAATTCCGCAAGAAGGTCCGGATCTTTTTCATTTTTCGTCATTTTGGTCGCAATTTGAGCGAGAAATTCAAATGTTTGAAATTTTTTCGAATTTCGTTAATCGGCAGGTACTGAAAAAGTACTGAATTTTTCTGTTGAAGAGGTACTGAATTTCTTGAGTATGTGTTGAAAAAGTACTGTAAAAGTACTGATTTTTGGGCAGCCTGTTTTAGTAGACACCCTGCGCCGAACGCACCTGTTAAATCACCTGCACCTGATAAAGCACCTGATAATGAAGCCGAAAACTTTAATGAAAATAATTGTAAACAAAATTAATATTCATATCCGAACTGAAAAATGAGGCTTCGACGGAGAGAGAAGGAAAAAGCAGACCGTCTCGGTCGGCGCTCAGCGGCTTCACGCCGAACCTGCGAACCTCAAGGCCGAGTAAATTCCTCATTTTTTTTCGTGTGTGTGCGTCTGTGTTGGTTTGGACTAACTCGCTCGATTTAAGTCCATCTAGGCTGGCGAGATAACTGTCGTGTCGGCGAAAGATCGCGTCGATCGTTCCATGCTTCGACGTCGCGGCGCACAAGGGGACAGGTCACGAGAGAAGTCGGACCAGTATGAAGACTTTAAAAGCTTCGTTAATACAAAACTTTGAAGTTTTAATAGCGGCTTCATCGGGTTTCTCGTAAAATTTCTCGTGTGAAGCAACTCTTAAAATGTATTATTCGACAAAATAACCATCAAAATTATGAAATTTAGTGAAAAAATTTTGTCCGACGTCTGCTGAGGACTAGCTCCAGTGTGCGGCGGGCGCGGGGCGGCGAGACTTAGGGCCCAGATGGAGACGTTAGCATTGACATTTACGAGCATATTTATACATATGAGAAGGTCCTCAATCTGTACGCTTTGATCAGAGAGTCAATTCTACTCTACGACTTAATGTTCATTCATGGAGGGGTTTCGATAATTAACTTGAGTTTAAAAGTTCCGGGGCACGAACGAACATTTTCCGCAAAATTTTGAGAAAAAAATTGAGAATTGTGATGAAGTTAGGCAGAAGGGCCCTTAAACGAAAGGACAAAATTGAACGAGGTACCTAAGTTACTCCATCGCAGATTAGAGGAGTCATTCCGTCGTTTTTCACACGAAGGAACGTATCTTCTTTTCAACGTTATCAAGTTGGCTGAATCTTATAAATTTTTTCCAGGATTATACCCGAGCAATTTTTTCCGATATTTTTTAGTTTTTTGCTTGTGATCAGGGGAAGAATCGGCGAAATTTTCAGTTAGGAATGTCCGAGAATTTTCATGTTAAAACGTAATTTGCGAGTGGAAATTTCTCAACGTTGAAATGTTGCTACTTTCTTTTTTTATTTTTGAAAAATGACAAGTTTTGCATCTTCTAGACGCCGAGATCTTCTGAAATTTTCATGAAAATTGGCCCTCATATTGCTTCACAAGGTTCTTCTACTTTCGGAAGAAATTCCAATGGAAAGTTCGAAGCCTTTCATAAAATACATGGCCAGGAACAATTTGACGGAGTCAGTCAAAAGGGACCGTTAACTGGGGGAAGAAATAAATTAACTCTCTATCATGTAGCTGAAAAACACCCTGCAATTTCGGAAACTGACCCCTCGAAAGTATTTTAAAGTTCGAAAATGATATATTGCGAAGTTAAAAAAAAAAACTAACAAGGGTTGTCGGCATCGTACAGAAAATGCTCCATTACGCCCCCTCCCGGGCGCATTACTTGAAAGATCCTGCACCCCTGGTTGTCGACTCTGTTGCCAGCTTTTATTACTTACCATCTGGGAACTGGTGCCTCTTTCGTTCTGAGTGGCAGGGTATCTACAAGTCCGGAAATAGTACCGATTTTTTAAGGGGGGTCCGGAAGTACTGAAAAAATGTGGAAATTCCCCAAAAGGTCCGGAATTTTTTTCATTTTTTGGTCATTTTTGTCTCTAATTGAGCGAGAAATTCAAATTTTTGAAATTTTTCGAATTACTTCAAATGGAGGTACTGAAAAAGTACTGAATTTTTCTATTGAGGAGGTACTGAATTTTTTGGGAATGCACTGAAAAAGTACTGTAACAGTACTGATTTTTGGCCCACCTGTTTAAGTAGACACCCTGTTAGTGTAGTGGTCGCCGGGTCACTCTTTAGTCACCGTGTCTTTATTTTTTCTTGCAGATTTGCTATGAAACAATACATGGAAAGATCTTTCGGTCCCTAATTTTTGCCCAATTTTGTTGCAGAAAAAACTCCATCTAGCGCAATGGAATAGTCAAACGAATGGACACAATGGAGTGAGGCAGAATGGGATCCACGGAGAGAACCACGATGACGAAGCCTACTCCGGAAATTCGTCGGGCCAGTCCTCTGCCGCCGATAACTCGGACAGGAGAAAGAAAAGTAAGTCCTCAACTTTCCGCCCTCATTGGATGTTTCGGACTCATTGAAAGCTATTGATTACTAAGCTTGTGAAACGGAAAAGGAGGAAATATTGTGTTCCGTCCCGGAAAACCTCTCTCATTGCCAGACTGCCGTTCTGAGGAAGAACGCCGTGTGAACCTTCGTGCGTTGCCAAATTTCTTTTAGTAAAACGAATTTTCCGGAAAACTTGTGAAAATTTTCCGTCCACTTTCTCAGATAATTTTCTTCGCAGTGTGATCTAAATTATCACAAACTTTCGAGTAGAAATATCCATTATTCGTCTCAAAAATTAATATTTAAGAGAGGAAATTTGGCAACTCTCGGATGTTCATACGGCGTTTTTCCTTAGCACGACAGCAGAGGGGTCGATCCAAGTTATCTTTTTACATTTGGTATAGCCGGGTTTTAGCTTTGTTTCGTTCGTCTTTTTGAGTGGATGGGTGGAAAATTTAAGGAGGAAGAGGATAGAGGAAGTCAAACTGTCTTCTGGAAAGAAATATCTCTTGAAAAGCAAATCCAATCATCAGGGACATGTATCTTCGATTGGAGTTCTGTTGCACAGATAGTCATTTGCCTCTTTTACAGCAATGGAATTCTAAAAAATATTTCCTCGTTGTTATAGTGAAAATTTGATCAGTCATAATCTGACTTGGAAATTTTCATTTCAATCTCCTAGAAATCGATCCAGGAGGTAAGGGTAGTATTTGTGATATTGCACATGTATCCTTCGTCGGTTATTACTTAATTTCCACCCATTTTGTGATTGGAGTCTTATTTAGAAAACGTATAAAACCTTACCCTGGATGTGCACGTCAAAATACTTCATCTGCGAAAATTAAAACAGGGGAAAGACGGGTCACCGAAACCATTTTGAAAATAATATAATCTTTTAGTCTTGTTAAAATGCTTAAATTGTTTTATTCCTATCATATTCTCACCTCTGCTTTTGGCCTCTGTTGCTTGTGCTTCATTCTTTTTTTTCAAGCCACCCTTTTGATCGCTTAACTTATCTCGCTTATTTCTTTGGAAAAACCTTTTTCCATTTTCCAAACTCTTAACTTACGGTGGAGATGATAGTGGCACAATGAATTCTGAGGCTATGCTTTGCTTTGTAGAAGAGACTGATGTAGCGATGCCTTTAAAGGTTGCAGACTGATGCACATCACACAGCATTTATTATTAGTGGTGTAGCTGTGTTTTTCTGTGGACCTCGAGAAATGTATATTTGTATACAACTTGGGATCACAAATGAATGAAGATGGATTGCTTTTGCTTCACAATGTCCGTATCAAATATTTTAAAATGCAGCAGAGCAGCTCTGACTCCAACAGCCGTAATTATTTTAGTTTTTAGAGTCCTTTAAGGTATAATGAAAGCTGGAGGGAAATTCACAAACCAAATCATCAATTGTCTGCCAGAATTAGATATGGGTTCAAGAACTACCTAATTCACAAAAATAGTCCAGTACCTTGTTTCCTTTTACTTTATCCAGTATTACCTGATTAAGGGAAAGATAAAAGAAAATGAAGTAGGAGCTTTTAATTTTTCACGATTCCTACTCTATTCTGTCAAAACCTGTTTTGACCCCAAAGCTTTCCTGCAAATGATAGAAATGCTTTTGCCATTCTGCGCTTGTAAAATTGCCATCTTGTGAAGGTTAATTTAATCCAAAAGCTTTTCTCGTGTATTGAAGCAGACATGTCATTAGGAAGTGTATTTTTATTCGAAATTACCACAAAAAGGAGTAGAAATGGAAAGGGAACTAACAATTCATTCGCTGGATCAATTAATCCCATTACCATTCCTTATTGGGATAAGAACCCCTTACTCATTTCAATATCTAAACTAAAATTATATCTACTAAGTAATGATGCAATGGGAAATCCTGTAATCTAACGTCTCATGATGTCACTTCATTTCTACTCAATTTTTTTGTACCTCCCACCTATGAAATCATTTCAGTACCTATTCAGATGATAGTGTTAGTGGGTTCAATTACCTATTTTACTTTCATTCTATGCGTACAATTTTTGAACTAATCCTGAACTAATCATGAAACTGCTAACGGAGTGCGGACAACTGAGTAATTTTAATATCCCTCTGATTACCAAACCTTCTTCTCAGCCATCTTTTTCAAAATCTCCTGACTTTGATCAGAAAGAGCAGAATAAAATAGTCTTCTGCTTGTACATGAAGGTTTCATGTTCTTGCTAATCTGATTATTGATTGTGTTCATGTGCCTAGAAGCAAAAATGACAGAAAGTAATTCAATTCAACAGTGAAATAGAGAGGAAAAACAAGATATTTCTTAAGATCTGTATCATTTAAGACTCATTAGTCTAAAGGAGAGTCATGTACTGCAATCAGGAACTTAATGGTACTATAAATTTTGATAAGTTGGAAAAGTTACTAACTCTTGCTCTGTGTGGTGGTAAAATAAGTCCTTTAAAGTCACTCTTGATCAGTGGCAAGGCAAGATAATTGACTATCAATAATATCCCATTTGAAGCTATGGTGAAGAATCAATTATTGTGGTGTTCGTTGTGAACGCCCTGATATTCGACCTTTTTTCATAGGTTTAAATGGCATATCAATCAATACATCGCAAACCTCGCCACGCCACTGCACTTAATTGATGGCATCATTGACTGACTTAAGTACCAACATACAATCAGCAAACTGTAATACTCTACTAATTTACTCTATCCTTTCTAACATCAAACATTTTACTTTCTTCTTTTTACAGCTTACCGGAATACAAGGGACACGTTAGATTATAATTTAGCTTACGATAAAAAAGATAGAATGAACCGTCCAAGGGATCAAAATAGATCAAATGGTAAAGACGTTTTTCATTTGTGATTGTTAAGAGTGTTTTATTTTTGATAAATAATAATTATAGCCACTTTATTGAATTGAGCAGCCATTTCATTTAGTTGAGCAATAACCTGTGTCATTATTTTGTTGCTTCTTTTTAGGAACCATACCCCAACTGATATCAGATTTACCCCGCACGGTAGTTCTGATACTTTCTTTAAACCTTATCTTTAGGACGATTTTGTGACGACTCAGCTTTTAGTGTTTTGTTTCCATGTGTGTGTTTGTGTGCTTTTATGTGTTTTGCATAAAAAAGTACGAACGTTCCTGAGAGAACACTCAACTCACAATTAGTTTATGTTTTATTTACAATTACAACCGTACAAGAAAACTTCTGAAATGAAAAATTAATAAATAATTATTAAGTGAGATAGCAGGAGAGGATTTAGTGGAACTATATTGAAGTCACTGATGAGGGAATATATTTCCAGTCATCAAGGTAATGAGTAAATCTCAATTATTTTTAGAAATATTAAAAAATTTCTTTGCTCTTGCTTTACTGTTCTGCTTTTTTCTTGACTTTAAAATGTATCACTAAAGGTGATTGATAGCAGTGTATTTAAATAAATTGAAACTTCACAACTGAAGGTTTCATCACTTGTCGTTTTTGAAGTCAATTATCTTATTTGTACACTTTTTGGCCTTGTTTCCTGCGTAAAATAATGTATCAGGCTCAGCACTATTTTACCACCTTGTTAACTTGTACCTATGTACATTTTTAGCTTTTGCACCATTTTTCGGTAGAAAGTATTTTTAATTTATACCTTATTTTCTGTTGATACTACTTACATTGATTACTATGAGAGATGTCCTGGAAATATTTTCTGTAACTTCCAATTGAAAAAGGAGGAAAGGTTTGACTAATGCCTATAAAGGATCATGCTAAACCCTGATTTAAAAATTCGGAAGCAAATGAACAAGACCTTGTCAAGGTTTAATATAAAGAGCCTCCTAAGTTTCATCAAGTTAACTTGAAGAAAGTTCAAGTATCTTCATAGAGATGTAGCCTGTGATCAATTGAAACGTTAGTGACACTCTTTGAAAAATATTGATTAACACACCTTGTTAAGTAAACTCAGCAAAAAATTTACCTACTTCAAGAACTCAATTCTTAGTTTTATTACCCGAGCTCAGATCTTGCACATGTTATCAAACTCCACCGTGTCATCAAACTTCTACCTAATTCTTCTTTCAAGCAACAAAATGTCTTATCAACCACGTTCACTGAACGCCTTAAATTTTCTATGGATGAGTAGTAACGATTAGTAGCTATGGTTGGTAGTAAGTAAGACAGTTAAGCATAAATATTCTTATCAGTTGCTTAGTCTGCGTTATAGATATCATTTATTACCTTGCTAGCATCCCCTTATGAGAACTATTCTTAACCTAGTTACTAACTGCATGGTATTGTTTTTTTTTGCAAACTGGCTTGGTGGCCTTGTGACAACTAATAATGTTTCTACACATCTTTGAAAAGTGTTTGATTGCTTCGGTCTTTATACTGCCAATTTAAAATTTTTTTTCTTTCTGTTATTCCTTTTCATATGGCAAAGGCAAAAAGCCATTTCCAACATTAAATAGTCTTTTGCCTACTCAGATAAGGAGCAAATTAAAATTAACTGTGACAGCCTCGGTAGATAGTAAGCTACCTAGGTAGGCAGCGAGCTGCTCAGATAAATAAAAAGCTGTGAGAGTGTGCAAATAACAATCTGATAATCAAATGATAACAAAACATTTAGCAGTCAAAGGAAGATAGTAGAAAGGTTTAAGATTGATTGAAAGATTACCTTCAGATGTTGAGCTTTGCAAGAGATGATTTTATTAGTTAGAGCAGTTCAACAACCCATGATATCCATTGTTACTTTTGATGTTGTTTTAGAAACTTGTTGCATATATAGAAAGCGTTGCAAAGCTCCTCAAAAACCTCTTGCAGCTTATTTCGTAAAACCATGTGTGTTAAAATCCCTGCTGCGGTGCCCTTCTACCGTGGCAAAAAACAATGATCGTTATTCATTAGAAATGGCTGCCCGATGTTCATGCAAAACTCTGAAAATTCAAGAAATACTTACTGTGGGTGTGATTAAAGTGGGTCACTGCAAGTTTTTTAAAAGTTTTTTTCAAATTAAGTTTTCAATTTCGGTTTGCACGTCATTTACTTTGCCTATTTGTTATTCTTTTCTCACCAACTGAACTATGATTTCAGGATACTATAATAACCGCTACTATGATCGAGAGCGAGATTTTGATGATGGAAACAGGGGTCGAGAAGGAACAAGATACAATCGACCCGGCAGAGGTGGCCATCGTAACAACTATCGCGGAAACATGCGTCAAGGCAGGATCCAGCGCAAAAATTATGACTTCCCAGCAGATTTTTCCAACGTAAGGTTTCTAACAATCCTTATTCCAGAAAAAAAAATTCTGATCTCTTTTTTCTTATGGTAATTTAAAATTATCAAAGGAGAAGTACAATTTTAAACATTTCAGTTCCTAACCAGTTGCGACCTTGTAATGTTCAATTTTTCTATTATGTCTTTCATTTTCTCTGCCATATTAATGAGCCATTTTTTTTTTTACTCACAGGTCAATAGGTTTCCAAATACATATATCATGCCAATGAATGGAACTCTATACTTCGAAAATGCTGCACCGTACAATAATTTAGATGACAATACTTTGACAGAACTAATTAAAAAGCAAATGTAAGTATGAAAAAGTTATGTTATCTTTCAAACACTTTAACAGTACTTTTTGTATATAGTCATACGTCCTCAAAGAATTTTTTATATTCCACGGTTCGCATCACAAAAAAACCAAAAAGGAACAACTCAGGCACAAAATTTCTCTAATGTTATCTAACAATACGTCAATAAATTATATTTAACACCAGCCTTCTCTCTTACCTTGTTCTTCATAATTCATATAAAAGGGTCATCAAAAATTGTCTTGTTCTATCTTCTCTGTACAAAGTAGGTAGCCATTTTATTAAACTGGAAAAATTTACCATTATCACTGCGTCCAGAGATGCTGATCTTTTTGTAACATGACTCTGGTGTAATTCTGGGAGGTAGTGTAGCTTTGTAGTGGTCGCTGAACACCAGGAAATAATTCTGTAGACGAGGCGTGGAATCGTGGCAAACCTAAAATTTCATGTTTTTAGAGGCCTTTTTTCATGGCGTCCTAGAAAGTTACATTCTTCAATAGGCTGGAGAAAAAGGTACTTTCTGGTTGCATACGCAGGTTGAGTGGGATGGGATCGAAGACTTTGATTAACTGCAGCACCAGAATTTATGTTGTCAATTATGATCAGGTGTGAATATCTTAAGTCAAAAAAAGAGGCCGATGTTCAAATTCTTGCCAAGGTATCATTTCTTGAATTTTTGTCAAGAACTTACGAGGCTTTTGTCAATGTCTCGGAAAACAAATCCAGTTTTTCGTTAATTTTTAAATGTAATGAATAAACCCCTCTTCTTTTCCAGAGAATATTATTTTAGCGAGGAAAATCTATGTAAAGATGTCTTTCTGCGTCGTAAAATGGATCCTAATGGCTTCCTGCCTGTGACTCTAATAGCTTCCTTCCATCGTGTGCGAGGGTTGACTCCAGACTTAAACAAGGTGATTGCAGCAATACAACAGTCAGACAAGTTGGAGCTTGATAATTTCAAGGTAAGTCTCAAAACTCTGGCCCCATGGATTTTTACTTTTTTTAAAGTTTATTTTTAAATTTAAAATTATTAAACTCAGCTCACAAAGCAAATAAAATAAAGGTTCCAGACATGCGTCTTCTTCTTTAGGGTGGATTCCAATTCAGGAAGAGCCAGGTGCCCTGGATAATGTCGGATTTGATATAAATTATTTTGTGAGTGCAGTTTATTGTGTAATTTTAATTTCACACGTTTTCATTTTGTGCTCTTGCCTCAGTTTCTCCTTCACAGTTTAATTTCGCTCTTGAAGCATGCCAATAATGACTCCCTTTGATTTACGAAGATCCATGAAAGATACTCTCGGTAGATCTTTAAATTCTTTTAGAAAAAGACCCAGTAATCTCAAGAATTTTTCAATACCTCCATTTTTTGAGAGGCAACAGTGAAACTTCTTCCAACCAGTGCCATGAAAAATTTCCCACTCTCAAGTTTTCATTTCTCTATTTGCCCTTTTCAGGTTCGAACGAAAACTGACCCTACCAGATGGCCGATCCCAGACACTGTGGGCAACACCATTTATGTGACACCGATCCATCCGTTGGCCATGCATCCCCTAGGAGCTCCCACAAGTATCCCCTCCATGCCAAGTCTACCAACTATGCCTGCCGTACCTGCTGTCCCTGCCATGTCTGCGATACCTGCCATGCCTGCTATGCCTGCTGTTCCAACTGTCATTGCACCGCAGACACCTGCTCCAGCCCCCCCTCCGCTGCCCCATTTCGTCAGTTTTCCGCAGCCGGTTGTACCGCCTCCTAAGCCTCAGCTTAACAACCCTGTCCTGCCTCCGAACATCAATCCTGCGGAGTTCATCCCCCATGTCGAGAACCTGAATCCCAACGTGCCAGAATTTGTCCCTGTAACAGTGGACCGTGCCAGTGATTTGGGAGACCTCGATGAGTGCGTTGAGGCAACTGAGGCGACAGAAGCAACGGAAGTTTCTAGCAAAGAGGTCAGCAAGGAGGCAGATGTCAAGACTGACAATGCAGGCACAGAAGCAAATCAAATCAAACAGACTGCATCTGTAGATGTCAAGAAGAGTGAATCTAAAATGGAGAAAGAGCCTGTAATTTCTGGTAAGACATTTAAACATTGCTAGTAATGAATTCTCTTGAAAAGTCTGTGATACATCGGGTCATGAATGAGTGAGAGTAATGCAACTGGAGCCATTCATGGTTATTGCACCCAGAGTCGCCTATTGAACATGTTTCTATTATGTAATAGAATTGCTGCTTTTATTTAGTAATTTGTTTGTCAGTTAATTCGAGAAAACTTCAATACCTTTTTTCCTTTTTGCAGCATCAACACCTGTGATTCCAATACCGATTTCTTCCTCTCTCACAGACGATAGTCATCTTGGTAAAGATATTGATTCAGATGAAGAGGAAAAACAGTGGCGCCAGGTAAGAACTTAAAATCTACTATTTAATTCAGGATGAATCAATCCTCATAATCCTGAATATGTGTCTCATTTGTAGGTCAGACTCTTGATCCTTCAAGAATAAAAATGTACAAAGAAAATAATGATAAATAAATCGAAATTTTTGATCTTAAAATAGGCACTCAGAATATACATAATTGTTCTGTACGATGAGACTGTAATCCGTACTATCATTCACCAGAGAGTCTTCAACGATATTATTTTTCTTAAAAATGATGTTTTTATTACTTGTTTGAAACTAACGTATTCCAATTTATTCTCATACCATTCCGAATCACAGTGGTCGCCATTGCAAATTTTTTTGGGCATCAATAATTTCTAAGTTCTGAAGAGCTGTCTAAAGAAGCACACATTTTTTGGAATTCCAAGATTAGCAGCAGGTTGAATAATACTTTTCTCCTTAAAATCTAGTTTATGGCGATTACATTATTTGGAAAGTGATCAGTCTTATGAGGCTCTACCCATACGAAGTTGTGAAGAAGTCTGAAAATGATTTAATTAAATGGCATTTTCGATTGAAAATTGTAATGCCACTGGAATTCCGCACTTGCATCCCTCTTCAAATGAGAGTAAGAAGGGGAAGGAGGGATTAAGCAAGATTAGCTCGTAGGAGATTTCTTGAGGGGTGGGAAAAAATAAAAATTCGAATATTTGAAGATAAAAAGATTTTTGGGGTCAGTTCCGTATTGGCCACACGACTGTATGACATACTGACGGTACTAAAAAAAATTCTTTTTTCTGCAGGTGAATAGGAGGCGCACAAAATCTGGATCTCAAAAGCCTGAGAAGAGTGGCAAGAAACCAAGTCTCGCCAATGAAGAGAGAGAGGAACTGGATTTCCAGTTCGATGAAGAGTTAGACAACCCGCTGCCTGGTGGCAAAGTCAATCAATTCACTGAATGGTCAGTCCCTTTTTTCCAAGAAAGTTTTAAAATCCAGCAAAGCCAAGCCTTCAACTTTTCAAACTCTCCTTGCTGTGTTTGCCAAATTGAACTTATTACCCACAACCTTAAATTCATCGATCAATCACAGTGCCACTATTTGTTTTGCATTATCTGTATGTGAGGTGTTCTCAGGGTTTGGCCTTTAGCTCGTTTTTAAATGAATTTTTGCCGAGAGATCCAACTCAGCTTATGAGGACAAGAGGTGTTTTTTCAAGGACTGTAGAATCTCGGAATGAATGTGTGTTAGGGTTACTTAAGTGAAGTGGAATATTGCAGGAAAAGGAGCCAAACATCAACAATTGTACCATTAAGGAAGTCATTTGTGGTCTCCACCATGAGTGTAGGTTGTTTACAGAGCTAGAAAACCCAAACATTTTATGGGAAAAGTTTCTACCGCAAAATGTTAGATGATTTCACAAAAAACACTGGAATTATGTCCTGCTGCCTGATTTTTCTCTGTTACTATATTTTTACAATCATCAGAATGAATATAGTAAAAAGTTGATTTTAGAAATTTTTCCTGTTTTTAATACAAACAAAGTGCTGTCCCAAGGTTTTAGTATATCTGAAATCTGTGGACCTTTCTGTATTGCCTTAAGCCAAAGATATTAAATTTTAACGCAACTCAGCTGGCTCTGTTTATGACTTGCTAGATTGCTGCCAGTTGTACTCTTCTCGACATAATGGAGAGTTCCATCTTCAAAGTTGCTTTAATCAAATAGAGGTATTTCTTCTATTTACAATGAATATTTTATGTTCAGGTCGGAAGATGAAGATGACTATGAAATGAGTGACAGAGATCTCAACAAATTGCTTATCATAACGCAGAATACCCATGCGCCCACTCGAGCACCAAAACATGAGGGCTATGACCGTTCTGGTGAAGTTCTGTCTCGAGTTAAGATCAGTCAAGATCTAGAAGAGGCAATCAACATCGGATTGCAACAGTATGAAGATGGACTTTGGAAAGAAAAGGTTTGTATCTTTAAATGTCAGAGTATTGATTCATGGTGGGTGTCTCTGTATGTGTAGGGGAGCAAGAACCATTTTTCATAATTCCTGTTTCTAGAAAAAAATGAATAAAAACTCATTTTTGTTAACAGTCTACTCAGTAGAACATTTTTACCATACTTTTCCTCTCAATACCCCAGATTACAATATCAGAGACATAATCTAATCACATCATTTTTGTAAGTGAACTCCTTGGGAAAAATTCACGATAACCATCATTTTAATCATTTCTCTAGATTTGATGATTACATGTTTTTTATAAAACTATGTCTATCTGCATGAGCAGTTAAATCATGACTAAAAATATTTATGCTGTAATCCAGATAGCTCCCTTCAGAAATGACTGTGTACAAAATCCAGCTATTGTGATCCAGCACTTATTGTGTGTAGTGATCCAGCTATTCCTAAGATAAAGACCAAGCAAATCACAAGGAAATAGATATTAATCTAAATGCATTTAACTATGCTCATTTTATCAAAATTGTATTTCAATGGCTCATCTAAGATAAAAATTGTAGCCTTATCATAGGTTTTTCATTTCATCAACCTTAGTAATTAAGAAAAACTGATGACTGAGTTTCAAGAAGACAATCTGACCCTACTCGAATATGAAGTTTCTTTGCATCATACCCAAAAATTCTGTTCTGGCTTGTGAGCTGCTAATTGTTTATATTTTAGGACTGATGTATAATCAAATAGGTCCATATTTGCATCCATTTATTAATTTTGCTCTGTCTTACTCATCTCCGTCTCTTGTTTTGTAACAGTCGTATGCTCAGCAACATAAGAGTGTCAACATTATTTCTCAAGAAGATTTTGACAAACTTATGCCGAGAAATAAGACAGTGACGAATACTGAGTATGTACCGCCTCCACCTCCACCATCTCTGGTCAACGATGCTGTCCTGCCAGAAGTTGCTTCTAAGAAGATTGATGATATTCCAAATGTGAGTAAACTGCCCTTTTCACTAATCCTTGAAGCTTCAGTTAATTTTTAGTGCTGTTATACGCAAAGTATGAAGAGAAGTGCTTGTGATTTCTTCATGTGTCATAAAAAAAAAACCTCAGACCCAGAAATAATTTGAATAATGTGATTTTGTCATGATACCTAAGAATCTGCCTGAAACAGAGAAAAGTTGAGGTTCTTCAATATTTTCCAGTTCTCAAATACAGGTAACCCCAAGACCCAATTTAAGCATATCTTTTTTGATCAAACTTGCTGTGAGTTACAGATCATGAGTCAAAGAACCACTGAACAGAGAAAGAATTGAAGCTCAACACTTCACATCCCTTCATCAAAATCTCATGCAGGATGCAATGAGCATGATCAAGAATAAAACAATGGAGCTCTTGCATGCCTTTGGGATTTGTGATTTAAGAACAAATTTTGAATAGCTTTTTGAAACTAGATCTCAGTGTTTATCAAAACCTGTTTTTTTAAACTTAGTGGATCATAGTTTTATTTGTGCCATTTTTTCTTGTACACCGTCAGGCTGTGGAGAAGATCGAAGAAATCAAGGCCAAATCAAAATTCCAGCACAAACCCAGATTCTATGGTGTCGTGAAGGATCCTAGAAGCACGAAGTGGCTCGCCCACGGACGCAAGCACAAAACACGACACAGTGCCAACCCCCCTGTCGAGCACCATGTTGGTTGGGTGATGGATGTCAGAGAACACAGGCCCAGAACTTCATCTATGAGGTTTGCATTTGGCAACAACTTTTATCTATCATTCATAATGCACTCAAAAGAATTTTTCTCTTTAGAACCAAACTTATTTTCTTGAAGTTAATCTTTGGCTAGAGTCTGTAAAGTTTTTCCAGGAGACGGAAGGTCCTGTAGAGTTGATCAGAATTTAGTTTATAATATGTCCCTCAGCAAGATGGCCATACCTTGATGGGTGTGATCAAGCGTAGTCAGTGTTGAAATCACATTGCCAGTTGATGGACAATCAAACTGTCAGTCTATTTCAGTGCTAATTGAGAAAAGCGCAATTTAAGTTCAACTGAAAGATATTGCAGGGGTTGCAAGAATCGCGGATAAGTTATAGTGGTGGTTATTTTAATAACTAATTAAACTACACTTTTTGCAGTGTCTTTGGTTGTTTCCGTGATCCGGAAGTCTTGCAGCTCAAATTACATGAGTTATGACATAATATTGTCCGGCAAAAAAGTGATTTTATGACTGCCTCAAGGTTTTAAAACTTTGGCTACTCCATCACTATAGCCACAAACTATATTTTCACTCTCTGTCAATGTAGAATTTTCATTATAATTAGAAAATTCAGTATTTTATACACATGCAGCAGTTCTGTGCTCCATTAATTTTTTCCGTGGTCTTCATTGATGAGCTTACCAAGTCGTGTGTAGAAAGTTCCTTCTCCTAAAGCTGTTATATTTTTTGAATTTACAACTAAGCCATGTGTATTATTCCAGCCTCTTATTCAAAATCTCAAATATCTAGCCTTAAGGTATTTTTTTATGTCCTGAAAGTAATCAAACACAGCTATGACAGATTTGGCTCGTTAATTTTCTATAATGAAAAATTTTCCTATCAGTTTTATTTTTTTGACATTTGTCTCCCTTTAATCTTACTCATAAACTGAGAAAAAAAAAAACTTGAAATATATATCAATTCTTGTCTTGCGCAGTAGTAGCACTGGAACCAGTCCAAAGGATGGATTCTTAAGCAGTACGCCAACATCGCTTCCCTCGTTCCAACACCCCTCTCACGCCTTGCTCAAGGAGAATGGTTTTACACAACAGGTGTATCATAAATACCATGACAGATGCCTTAAAGGTAATTTTCAACTTTATTCTTTTGATTTTTTAGTCAGCCTAGACCATTGCGCATCTATGAATGTTTTCAAATTTCATTTCAAGTATCATAGGCTAACAAGTACAAGATGCTCATTAGGCCCTGTAAGAGCTGAAATCCCAGGGTATAGCTTATTTTTTTCAAACTTGTTGTAACTTGTATATCTTTCAGGCATTCCCATCATACAGCCACTATGTGGATTGCATGTCTCCTCTTCTGAAATGTATAGTATGTGCAGCCATTCATTGATAACGGCTACCCAGACCATGCATGGTGGCAGAGACAACACAAGATTGAGATTGGCTGCAATGAGAAATATTTTTGGACACCATTTTGGCTTCTCAGACATGCGACTTGTTATGAAAGCTCAAAACATGCTCCTTTGGACTCATTTTTTATGGGTCAGTGTTGTTCGAAAAATCTGAGGAAATTCTTGTGAACTAAATGCACTCTCTACTTATAATAAACTTAATAATTAAGCACAATCCAACTCCATGGTTAATTTTCATGCCCTCATTAGGCAAGTAATCCTGGGAGGTGATCATGATACCAGTAATCCTGGGAGGTGTAAGTTTGATAATTTAATTAATTATTATCACTCTTTACTCAATGATTGTCCACTACGAAATGCTTCTTTGTCTACAAAGTTTCACTAGATTTACAATTCTAATCTGTGACATACATCTTTTTTCTGTGTTTCAGAGAGGAGTCGTCTTGGGATTGGTCAGTCACAAGAGATGAATACTCTCTTCAGATTCTGGTCCTTCTTTTTACGTGATAATTTCAATAAAAATATGTATAACGAGTTCCGCAATTTAGCCATTGAAGATGCAGAGAATGGGCATAGGTAAGTTCATCCATCTTGTTCATTCCCTTGTAGTCAATTTATTCCTTCTTTTTCATTTTAGAGTTTTAACTGACTTTATTGTGCATCTTATCTTGTACTCTCTTCGACCATATTGGAATAAAAACTCAAAACCAAAAGAAGTTGAGGAGCAATAAATAAATTAATTTAATTTAAATTGTGGAGTATCATAACCAAAGTTCCTTTTAACCCAAGGGCTTTTATCAGTTATAATCTTGATTGACCTCACTTGTTCCTCCTTATTCTCGCGAACACTTGTGGGTTGCTACAGATCTTTCCAGAAGTTGAATGGCAACCCTTGGATATTTGCTATTAGAATAGAACAAAATAGACCCAGAAGTTATGCACAATGGTGGCCACTCGCTGGTACTTGTATGTGACAGTGGTTATTTTCCGCTTTTTCATGATTTTGTGGACGTACTTATGTATTGGCCTTTACTGAAAAGCTTATCTATTAATCTTTTTGCAAATTTATTTCTTTAAAAAAACATGAACAAAGCAAAAGAAATCTTTTACCGCCGGATTAATTTTTTTAATTGGCGTGTATTAATATTTATCTGTTTCTTTGTTTGTTCCAGGTATGGCTACGAGTGTTTGTTTAGATATTATAGCTACGGTCTTGAAAGGAAATTCAGACCTCAATTATATCAGGACTTCCAGGCAGAAACAATTTCTGACTATGAAAATGGTAAGTAATTCAATTTACTTTTAGAAGTGTTCGATAATGTGACATGATTTTGCTCCACAGGAATGAACAGTCAGAAGGGAATATAACTATCTTTGGATTTTCGTTCTCAACAATTATTGAAATGTTTCTAGTCAACATTATTAGATTCTATTTTGGCTCAAAATTATCTTTAAATATTCAATTTCATTAGAATTCAAGCAAAGAAAACCTATTTTACTTTTTTTAACCTTTTTAACATTGCTTCCAAAATGCACTCTTCCAGATACCAGAAAAACTGTCTTTGCCCATTAATGCCTCTATATTATTTCAATTCCTTTTGTCTTTCGATCACTTCATCATCGCGGGATTTCTTCTTTGCAAAATTTTTAAACAAGGCAACACTCAAAAAATTTATCATTTATTTCTCCCGAGGCGCTTTCTCCTCTCAAATAGGACTGTTAATCACTTTCCAGATCGTAGTTTCTTGTAGATTAGAGTTTAGAATTTGTCGAGTACAGCAGAACCTATCTGTATCATATTTTTGATCCCTGGCTTTGATGTAAGGACCGCGTTCAGCAAGAAGGACTCTAATTTTTTTTTAGATAAAAAGGTAGGCTTTTCAGTTTGAGGTGAGCAAATTTTCGCATTGATCATAAAGTAGACTTTCAGCCCACTGATTACCAAAGCATGTATTTCAAATAAGTCAGTTCACTTTGAAGCTTCCACCTGCGGTATTTTTGCCTTCACTTATTTACAAACTGACCTTAAAACTTGATGATCAACTCGTGAAACGAGTATCCTCATATCATCTGCCTATGACTCGTTTTCCATCCCCAGCTTAATCCTAGGTCATCAATCATATTGAGTTTGGATTTTTAAAAAATGTGTGGGTTCTTTTGAAAAACATTTATTTTTTATTGTCTCGTTTCAAACTATCTTGCCAATATATTTTTCACTCTGTTCTACAGGTCAGCTGTATGGCTTGGAAAAATTCTGGGCATTCCTCAAGTACTACAAGCATGCGGATAAACTGCAAGTTTGTCCAAAACTCAAAGAATACCTGTCTAAATTCAAGACTATCGAAGATTTTAGGATGAGAAATGTGAGTATCTTCTCTCACGTTGTTTATCTAATGCTTCAACTCTAACTTTTTAACAATGAAAATTCTGCAATAAAATCAATTACAGTTCCTTCCGGTGTATTTGCCGTTCTTTCAATTTTTGTTCTCAATCTCTTCTGCAGAACACAATGTCGAAATGCAAGGTGGACAGGCAAAAACTGAAAAATTGTGGAAAGACATCGCAAATAGTCACTTGAAAAACGATTTTGTGCCAAAGACCAAAATTAATTTTTTTCCAAAAATGTTGCTTTTAAGTTCTCCAAAATCTCAACCCAACTGTCGAAATCCTTGCTTTATATCAAGTGCCCTCTCATATTAGTGCACTAGAATTTTATCTTCAAGGATAGCCAACATCTTCGACTGTGGTTGATTTCCTCAGCTTCCTCTCCATTCTAGTACCTCATAAAAATTATTCTAAATTTCTAATTATTTTTTGAACCAATTTTATTTGACTCATCATTCAGTCTACTCAGGGTGTATTTACTTGTAGGTGTAGAAGACAACTGCAATTTTGAAATTTTTAAAGCTTTGAAATAGCTTTTTTCCGTACCCATTCCATAACCCCAATGAAATGTGAGGCCAAGTCAATGCAAGAATCATTGACAAAAAATTGGGCTGTGCATATTCTGAACTTGTAGAATTTTAAATTACCCAGAATCAGATGTTTTCACTCAAAAAAGTGTGAATTTTCTGTGTAAGTAAACTTCTTTCACATAAATGTTGCCAACTTTAAAAATTGCATTGTTCCAAGCAGAACTAAGAACTTAACAGGTTCTTGGCTTTGAAAAAAGATGAAAGTGTCTTCAGTTCTTCTGAAAGTAACCTCACCCTTCATTGTTTCAGTTGAGAGATCAGCAGGAAAGAAATTCAAGAGGACGCCGAAACCGCAGTGTATCAGAGAGTGCTGGCTGTTCGTCTTCATGGGGCTCTGTAGCAAGTCAAAGAGTTGAGTTCATGGGCTCCGGGTCTCTTGACTGGAGAGCTGATTCTGGCTCCTGTAAGTATTAAATTTTTCTTATTATTCCAGAAGGGACTTTATAAAATAGTTAGCAAATAATCCACTGATGTAAATGCAAGAAATTATTCTCTGCAGATTAGCTTTTGTACTCAAAGAATTGTAGCATCTCAAAGCATCAGAATTAGTGAGAGGAGTTTCTTTGAAAAAGCTGATGAAGCTAAAAATGTCAGTAATTTTGATAAGTCAGGGGAAAATGCAGGAATCTTTGGAAAGATCTATCAACTCCAACAAGAAATAGGATTTGTTTCGTTTTAAGGAACCTTGTCAAAAATGTTTGGTCGTGTGTTCAACTCAGATTTTTGCACAACATTAAAAGATCAGCAATAAACTTCTGTATGTCAAAATCTGGCTTTTGAGCCTTAATCAGTATGTAATAGGGGTGGTATTCATAATTATTCCTGTAACTTTAGGGCCTCCTTAAGCCATGAAAATCAAAGGGGAAAAATGTGTCCTGAATGCGACTTGGTCAAATTATCCTAACTTTGAGTTAAGATAAGTATGTAACATGTATACTAACTTAAAAGTGTACTTAATTTGGAAGTTGTCAGTATAAGCCAAGTGCCAATATTTTTATCTGTTGAAAAGTTAATCAGCAAACTCTTTCACTGGGTTTTTCAACTTTGAACCCTTCCTTTTTTTCAGGGGTTGGAATTCTAGGAAAAGATACCGCTTAATGTACTCTTTCAATATACCACAAATCAAAAAAAATCCAAAGGGGAAAAAAAGGTCAATTTTGCATCAATTTCTATTGAGAATTAATAAAAAACTGTCGATCATTCTGTTACTAACACATTTTTTCGTTTTTTTTCTACAGCCACTGATGTGACCTCAATCCAGAAGAACTTTTCAAATAAAACTCTCAAAGTCAATTTTGATCTATCAGCAGCACCAAAGTTCAAGCGCACCCGGCATGAATCCTATAACAGTAATAAACCTATTTCAATATCATTTTCAGGCAAGAAAGATGTTCCACTTGCCTTGAGGATCAACCCAGAATCAAAGCCGTTTGTTCCAAAGTCAGCTCTGAAAAAAGCCTCTTCCCTTGAAAATGAAGATTCTGCCAACAGAGTTACCACACCAACGATTAAAGTGACTAACTTCGAAGAAGTTGTAGCACTTGATACCAATGAAGTCCCATGTAATCAAACCAATCAAGGACAAAGTGCCTCAAGTTTGCCACAAGAAAAATTCTGTGATATTATTACGGGAAAGTCTGCAGCAGCAGATAGAACCAAGGAAGAAATCAAATCTAAGTCAGACGCAGAAACTTCGAAGGGAGCAGTAGAATCAATCTTAAACGATCAAGGTGAAGTCGAAGAAACTGTAACTGAGAAATTAACTAACCAAGTTTTGACAGAAACAGTGTCAAGTAACAAACCAGCATCACCTGAGGCTATTGAAAAATCTACTCCAATTGAAGAGTCAAAGATGGAGTTGAAGTCAGATGCAGCAGAGAAGAAAGATGCTGGTAAATCAAAAGCCAAAGTAGAACTGGCCAAGGGAGATGCAAAATCTACCGTAAAGCCCAAAGACAAAGTTCCAGAGACTAAAATTTCGGCGAAACCGGTCAGCTCAGTGTCCAAAGTTGCTCCCAAAACCACTGACGCGAAGACCAGTAGAAGTGTAACCACTGCAAAGCCAGTCAGCACTACAAGCAAGGTAGCACCCAAGTCTGTCAGTAGCACCGTAACCAAGAAACTTTCAGATAGTCCTGTTTTAAGTAGGTCTGGTGTGAAAACCCCTGTTACAGGATCACCGACTGTGGTCAGAAAAACCAGTGTCACAGGCTCACCTAGTCTAGCAAAAAAATCTACTCTGGCGTCCGGATCGCCTGGACTCAGTAAAAAGGTCATCCCAGTTGTTGAATCACCTATTTTAGCCAGAAAAGTAGCATCAGCAGCAGGGTCACCCATTCTTGCAAAGAAACCCACCACAGGGTCGCCTGTTCTTGCAAAGAAACCTACCACAGGGTCACCAGGTTTGACAAAAAGGGCTGTACCTTCTGTGGGATCGCCCAGTGTTGCTAGAAAAATTGTCCCTGAGAAATCAAAAGTTGCTGACAAAGTAACAAAACCAGAATCCTCCAAAGTCACAACACCAGTCTCAAGTAGCGCTGCTTCAAAAGCAAAGGTTGAGTCTCCCGCTCCTCCAGCGAAAAAGTCTACATTATCTGATATTGCCAAGTCAACTAGATCCAATCTCAAAGTTTGTGTGAAGTCGCTCTGCAATCTTGCCGCTGGTGGCAAGTCGCCAAAAACTGATGCTGAAAAAGCAACGGACAAAGCAGCAGCAGAGAAGAAAGTGGAAGATGCTAAGAAGACCAAAACAGCCACACCTGTTCAGGACAAAAAAGACTCTGTAAAACCTGCGACAAAAGTCAGCAGAACCGAGTCAGTGCTCAAATCCGCATTCAGCCTCAAATCGAAATCAACAGACGCAGCAAAGAACAGTGCAAAAACTGCAACCACTGCTAAGCCGAAAGCAACAGAAGCCAAGCCTCAGTCTAGTGAAAAAAGTGCATAATTTTAACTGCTGATAGATTTTGTTGCCCTCAAATTCATGAAGATCAAATGTTCGTGTCTCGGATGTCCTGCCCTTGCCCATAAAAAGTTGAAGAGCGGTTACTTGCCTTCGATTTATTTTCGGATTATTAGGACAGAACTATCATCAAACCCTGAGCTTTGCTCAAAAGCCGAGATTAAGTTTTAACATTTTGTTTCGGATAGATTTTTGAAAAATTGTGTAAGCAACCGTTGAGATTTTCCATTGTGATTATGTGCCCTGACAGATATTTTTTAAAAATTTCTTCTGAAACAGTCATTTTGAATTAATTAAGTTGCTGTTTTATAATTCTCTGTGAGTTTCATATTTTTTTATTTTGTATTATTTTTTCCACTGTTCTCTGAAAAATGATGTCCAATGCTTCTATCTGGAATAATCCAGAAGTTATGCTGATGATTGTATTAAATTGTGTTCGTGTTAATCAAGTTACACCGCAAAGTGACCCAAAACATCTCAGATTTCACTGCACAATAAGAATCAGACCTTTAAATTGGCCCATTATCATTGTTGTTCCACAAGTACAAAGGTGGCAGGTTTTCTTTCTTTTTTTTCTAACGGAGATATTTTTTTTTTCACCAAGTTTTGTTATTATTTTGATCAATAGAAGTTTTCTTTTTTTCGTTTTTAAAATTAAATAATTTTTTGAGAGCTAAAAAGTGCTTTATTGTCTCAGGTTTCTTTTGAATTTGCTGTTATGGTTTTGATTTCACAATCACCGTCACTCGGATGAACCGTTTTATTTTTAGTTTCCCGGTAATTTAGGGAAACACAAAAAAAAAAAATCCTGGAAAAGTTCAAGGATTGGAAGAAGAATTAATTCTTTTTCTCATGCATAATTTTCTCCTTTTATTGTTTCTTATTTCAAACTGTTGTACAGTCCCCTTGAATTCAATGCATGATTTTTTACACAAACGTGATATTACTACAGTGACGAATGCATTGCTCCCTCTCTCTTGATTTTGGATAATTTACTCTATGCATTGATAACAAGCAGGTCATGATTGCTTATTGTGAAGTTTGAACAAAGTTTTTTTTTCTTTTTTCTTCTTTTTTTGACATTTTCATAAAGAGCCAAAGATCTATATAAAAGTGTTTTGGCTCTTGCTAAAAGAAAATGTTGTAACAATGTGAAATATACTGATAATGGCATCAGTAGTTTTACATTTAAATCTGACTCAATAAGTGATTACAAATATCCAAGTCTGATGAGCCAATAAGAGAAGGGGACTTTTCATGAAATGGAAAAATTATTTTTTCATTGCACCAGCGTATATTATCCTGTTTTCTACGAAGTCTGCCAAAAATAATCGTTTCTTCCGTCACTGTTGTAACCTTGTAAATTCTGTACAGTTTCTTTTCAAACATGTTAGTCAACTTGAAAAGAATGATATTTAGTTTTAGTTGTAAGAAATCTTATTTTGTATTATTTATTTGGGACTAGACACTAAGCTTGTAGCATATATCGATTTTATATTTCAAGGACCGTTGCCTTTAGCTCTGCTTATTTATCATAAGTACGTCGCATCGCCGTTGCGACTGGTTGAAAGAAGTGTAGTGCCGTTATGTGGAAGTGTTATGCCTTGATTATGATGTCCGACCCGATCGTTGGAGTCAGTCTTTTACGCAGAAATCTAAATTCATGAACCTACTTCTTAAGTTGTATGTTAACTTTACCTCGATTAAGTTATATTTCCCAATGATTTTTGATGTCAAGTGCATCAAGTTTTAGAAGGCATTAAGGGAACAAGGCGTGTTGGCTCAATTTTTAATTAAGTGCTAAAATGTCTATTTTTTTCTAATTATATTGTTTGACACCAGCTAGTAAATGTCTGAAAAGTTTGGTAAGGTTGGTTAAAGTTTGGCATATCTCCATCCCTTAATATGAAAAATGACAGGAAAGTGAAATTCCAAGGAGCAAGATAATATTAATTCAAACTTTTCTCAGTCAATCTGGTTTTTTTTCTTCATTGCCCTTAAAAACCATTTTTTTCTGTTAAAATTTTGTTTGCTTTCTAGCTTGTTTTGTGATGATTCTAATCTCCATCTCAATTCATTTTACAGAAATTGACGCATGACCCAGCACTTCACTTTTGATAAAACTTATCACCAATTTTTCAAATTGTTAAAGTGTTTATCTCTTCATAAATCATGTTCAAACTTTTTGACGAAGAAAATGAATTCCGATATGCCAATCTTGTCCAATGCTCTCGATAGGAAGGATGTTTTCGCGATGATTCCAAAATTCGCAAAACTTACATTATGTTACATTTGCTCATAATTATCGTTTTTTTCTTAATTTGTATTTCTATGATTGACTTTGTTTAACCATGATTTTTACGAATAATATTGTTGTTTGTTCATATTGTATTTTCTTGGTTGTTTCTCTTGCTTTTGAGGTGTCCAAAATCCATATCATGAATTTTGCGATTTACAACTGCACTGGTGTAGTCTCTGGTTAAGTGGTTCAAACCTGTCGCTCACATTTAAGGTGTTATGGAAACCCCTATTTCCTCAGATTTGAGCTCTTGGAAAATTTTCCAGAAGTATGTATTCATGATTTTTTTTCAACTGAAGAAATTTGCTTCTCAATGCAGTAGGCTACCTTATGGTAATCAGGTTCCACTTTAATAATTGTATCAAACTTCAAATGCTCATAGATTAAATGCTCACTAACAGTACTTAAGAATATTGTGGTACAAATAAAAAAAAGTGAACATTCTTAAGACAATGTATCATACTCAGAAACAGTGTTTTGCATTTGTACACAATTATTTTGGATGCAACAGAATTTTGAATCATATATGTCAAAGTAAGTGATGTAAAATTTGAGGCTATTGAATTTATTAACTGAAAGTTATTTCACTCCACTGTTTAAACCTTAACTGCAGTTAATTTTTAAAAAAGAAAAAGTAATGACTGGTGGGAAAATTATAGTGCCTCCTGAGAGAGATATTCAATTGTTTTTATGAAAAATCTTAAATCAGAGACTACTTACTAGTCGCAGGAATGTTAAAATAATACTTGGCAAGTTCTAAACAATTTTAAATAGTTACATTCTTTTTCATGTCATTTTTGCCACTTTACACCTTGAAAACCTGTGAAAACATGGCTGCCTGCAATGTTAGGCACTCTGAAATTAGTCCAGTGGTAAACCCAAAGGAGGTGCTACTGTCAGTGAGACTGAGGACTACATCGAATCTTTGATTCCATATGGCATACATGTCACATAAGATGAGCCGGGCGTGGAAGAAAGTATCGCTGCCAGTCAGATGTGACAATTAGCCACAGGCATGACGGTAGATATGTAAAAAATCATTGTAGTGAAGAAAAGCTATGTAATAGATTGTTTTTTCTTTTACCTCACAAGTTTTGTTCCAGAAATTTTTTACAACTTACCGAAGTATCCTTAAGTCTCATTCTTCCATAGCGAAGGAAGGACATTTTTACTCTTAAATGTTTTTTGATTCTAGATAATTAGATGCTCTGTAGGAGAGGTTTTTTTCTTTTCTTTTTTCCTCTCCTGTGAGTTGAGCCCCATCATAGTCTGTTCCAGTTCTTCCCTCCTCGTTTAGTCTAAAAAAACCTCTCGATCCTGTGATCATTATTCTCTTTTACCAATTTCTTACTTAGTTTTAATTAGTTGTACATCCCTTCATGAACACAGCATTTTCCCTCTTCAACTCATGGTTTCAAATCTGTCTTTTTTGAAAATTATTTGTTTTGTCATTTGTGGATCATGGTCGCTCTAAAAGACGTGGTATATTTCTGGTTTGATCCTAAACCTCTTTTTCTTGCCCCTTTAAGGAATTCTGAACTGTCCTAATGAGAAGTAAAAAAAAATAAATACATCAGTATTATTTATCACAGTGCATACATTCATTCTAAGATACTCACTTTAATGAGTCAGGAAGAAAGTAAGGTACTGCTTGTCAAAGGCTTTGTAATTACAGAGAAGTCTCAATTATCCTTAACAACTAGGAGTGGATGTAATGACATCGCAAAACTGTGGATAATTTTTATCTCAGAAATGAAGCCTCTAATATCAACAAAGGCAGTATCCTTGAAGAAAAGTAGACTTCAAGACAAATCAGTGATTAGACTCATTGGAAGATCAGAGAGAGAATAACACTTTCCTTTAAAGTTTTTATCATCATAAGCTCTCTTAGTATATTTCCAGAGATTGGTTGAACTAATATCCATGATTTTTTTTCCAATCAACCAGAATTAATATTTAGAAAGGATGGTCATCTTTGAATTTTCCAAGTTTTAACCATGTTTATTACTGTTGCAAAACAGCTAGAGTAGAGACCTCTTGGTTTTGATGAGTCGCGAGAAAATAGGTAGCAAACCTCTGGTAAGGTTCAAGCTAGTAGGCTACAAGGATAATTGAGACTCTCTTGTACTGGTAGAATGTTCGTCATGAAATATGTGCTAAATTTCATCCAAAAGAAGTTACACTTCCTTTATTCTTTGAGTGGTTTCTGGGCGTGGACTTATTGAAGTGCCTCCCCACAACCATATGCACGAAGTGCCTAAACCAGTTGATGCTCAGTGAACCAATTCAAGAAAAAACGGACTTGTGTCTACAACGACCACCTCTTGCGAAACCTTTAAAACTGAAAGCAATAACTTATCTATAATTGAAGTCTGAAAATTATATACTTAATCCCATTTTTCTATGAAAAAAATTTATTTTGGAGTGAGCTGATTACTGTTTCAATTGGAATAAAAGGATTTTGAGAAAAGTTTGGTTTTAGTATGGTGTGTCTTTAAGGCTGGATACAGAACATTGAAGGGAAGAAATTCATCTAAAAATGTTAAGAACATCAGGATGATTTGAGGAATTTCATGAAGAAAACAGGGAGTCTAGCTTTATACATGGAGCTTCGTTAAGCCCAGTTGTTTGACACACAGTCAGAGGGAAGAATAAAAACGTATCTTCTATCAATGCAACTCCCTATTGCCACATGTGAAGTTATTTAGGCAACTGTAAGGTCAACTCTGGGAAAATGATAGAAAGTTTGAAAAAATCATTGATCAAAATACTCCAAAAATATCTCTCTTGATACGTAGAGGCAGCTAAATCAGATAAAAGAGGGGGGAAAAAAATCTGATAATCATAGGAACTCGAAAGAGGACACATTTTATACATCCTTTTTTTTCCAGTTGTCTTGAAATCAGCTTGCTTAATAGACTCGCACCCTACTCTAATCCTATCTTTGTTTGTAGAACACTACGAGACTACAAGGATTTAAATTGATGATACATAATATTAGTCTTCCACAGGTGAAAGAGATCACTCAACTGAAAGACTTGCCAGGAGAATTTCTGGGTTCATTATCATCAAGTAACCTAAAATATATTTAAGTTACACTTGATGCCTGCTGTACTAACAACTACAGTTTAAATATAGAGAATTTTTACATGATTCGGCTACGGACTCTGTATCAATATTTTGCTGCCCTGGGTGTTGCACTTTCATTTGAGCTTCAGAAGAATTACCTGGAAAATAAACTTGACCAGATAGTTTTCACTGATCTTTATTTATATTTTGTTGAAAAATAGGATTGCTGAGCTCTACTCAATAACTTTAAGACAGTACTGAAATATTTTCCAGTACCTATTTACAAAATCATTAACTTAGAACCGTGCACAATGAAAGATTGCATCTATTATACTCAGTCTGTGTCGACGTAAAAAAAAGTTGAATTTTTAGATCAAAATTATTAAAAACCTGTGTAGGATTTTCCCATTTGTCAATACAATTCTAATGGAGAGCAGGTCTCGGAAACAAATTCTTGAAAGAATTCCCTTGTGTGTAATTGTGTATTTTTCATACAGATTGACCATACAAATGTCCCATACTTAGGCACCTCTCATTATTTTGTATCATTCTTTCACCCGCCACGTTGAAGGGCAGGTAATGTTAGCACATTTTGCATGTATGTATTCTTTTCAAAAATATTTGATCACAATGGATTTAAGGAAGAAAGATTTGGCTTTTGGAAGACCCCATTGTGGAAGAGGTAAACTCAATGATGCTGTAATTAGTCAACGAAGTTTACTTTTTTGTTGTGAATAATTTCGTGAAGAGCTGTGTTCATTATTCCTACAATTAGGTATCCTTTTTATCAGTAATTTTACTCTTTATTTAATGATTCTAAATAAGTAATATTATTGCTCTTTCTACAGCATGAGTCAGAAGCCTTCTCCTACCAACTTTTGAAATCTTTTTTGTTGGGAAATGTAATTTTTGGTGTCAACTAGGATAACAAGCATATATTATACCTTCGGGGCCTACAAAAAGTTCTAGAGGATGTTCCCATGTGTGGAGAAGATCCCAAGTTGTCCAACGTTTGCTTATGAACCTGTCGAATAAAAATTTTAAATCTGTAGTTTTTTTTTTAAGAATAACATGCTTAAAAGTTATATTATGCCAGCTATGCCTGTTTATTTTTTGCTTTTGATTCTTGCTATTGCTCGCTCTTACTTTACTACACAATTCAATTTTTTTTCTCCTCTCTACTTACTTGGAATTTAATGTCTGTACCGTTTAAGTGGGTCTATTTCACCCTCAAACTCTCCTGAAAACAAATTCAAAGACTTCTTTATTTATTTGCATAAAATGTATCTATATTTTCTCTCAATTCAAGTTTCTACACCAAACACTGGAGGGATTCTCCGCTTCATATTCCCTTCTCTCTGAAATTTTAACCCCGCTGAAAAGTAGTTTTCATCGCGACTGAAGTACAAGTTTTGTCTGCATGGGTGAGTTTCAAAATTCAATGGTTGGAGAGGACTTTTGACTCAAACTGTGTAAATATTATTTGATTGTTGTGTTGTTAAGATTTCATTATATTCTAACGCATTAAACAGTTATTCTTTTACTCAGTGCCTTGTCTTCTTTTACATGTATGTCCTTTTTTTCTGACAAAACTGAATCTCAAACGTGGTATAAACAGCTGATACAATGTTGCAAGTCCAGGCTCATTTCTGACGCTTTAAAAAGGAAATGAACCAACAGTGTTTTTAAACATTTTCTGTGAATTTTCCTCCATCCACCCAAAAATTTTCACCGGAAATTTCAAAGAAATAAGTTGGTCGTGTTCCCTATAACAGTGCATAATAAGCAAAATTGTAGACTTTTGAAAGTTGCGATGGAGGTATGCATTGATATCCATACCATCATTTTTACAGAATAGGTGCATAATAGTTCTTTACATTAAATATCTTTTCTACATCAACATGACATCTACAAATTTCTACATCATCTAAATGAAATTTCTGATTTTGTCGTCTTTCGGTGATACAAGAGACAACACCTTTAATTAGTCGAGTTAAGAGAGAAACCAAACACGCAATTTGGCCTGGAACGGAGCGGTGCGGCGGTCGGCATGAAACGCATAGCGCCTACAAGACTGCATGAATACTTCACGCATTGCGCCAAACAGTGTGGTCAGCAGCGGTCGGCGTGAAACGCGTAGCGCCTACAAGACTGCATGAATACTTCACGCATTGCGCCAACACAGTGCGGTCGGGCAGCGGCGGAAATTAAAATTATTAACCACATTTGTGTTTGTTCTTTCTTAATTTTTTCGTTCATTTTTTATAAATGGAAGGCCTTGTCCAAACAGGGATGTATTTACGGAACTGAACTTTTGTTAGTGTTGACAGGGCTTTCACAAAAAATGTGCCCAACACGAGCAAACGCGTCTCATATACACCCCTCCTCCACCGGCACGTTCACTTGATGGTTTTTATAGATCGTATTCGACAGATCACACAGGTGAGATTATATTGATATCGATTGGTTCAATATGTAACCACAGCCTCAAAAGTCAATTTAGAAATCTGAATAGTAGCGGGGTCTTATGTGATCGAATTTTTATTCTCTCGAGTACCAAATGGCAATGAAAAGTGAAATTGTTAGGAATTTTATCATTTTCAGCTTTTCCGAATTAAATCCTCAAATTTTCATTTGAGGTCATGTTCCATTGTTTTGAACCAAACGATGAATCGAACCACTGTCGAATACGATCTATTGATGTTTCAAAACGAATGAGAAGGGGGCGGAAAAATACAGGCGGCAAGAAGGTAAATCCGGCCCTGCAAGAGGTACCTACACAAGAAACAGATGCATTATAGGAGAAAAACGCCCTTTGACTCCCTTGACAGGATGTCTAGCATCAGGATTTTCCCGATTCTCTCAGGAGTTAATTCCGATTTCATCAGGATTTGAGGGAAAATCGGTCGTAAAATTAGGATTTGAGAAAATTCGGCTGTCCGATCCGATTTTTCCTGGTAAAAATTGGCGATAGGAGTTGCGTTTCAAAATACCATAGGAATTCTTATAGCCGGCTAAAGAAGGCAATAGAAAATCATATAGCTGGCTGTAGAAAGCGGAGTAAATCATATAGCCGGGCTATACGAAGCGATAAAAAAGTATGCAGCTGGGCTATAGTTCCTATTGCCGGGCTTTACACTTTATTGCCATCGGCTATAAAAGGCTATAAGAAATTGTGTAGAAATTCGTGTGCTTTGGAAATCATTAAGTTTGAAACGGAACCACCATATTATTCACAAAACACACATTATATTTTCCTTTAATACATATTTTTTTTCATCAATTAAAATGAGAATAATCCATACAGGATGTGTAAATATTTCAAAATCATTAGTTGAAAAACGCTGACTCCGCAAGATTATATTGGAGCCCGACACAGAGCGGAACGACGTGCTGCCAGCGATAAGCGCGCACCAGCGCCTACAAACCTAACAGGGATGCTTCACGCATGGCGCAATGCGTGAAGTATCCCTGTTAGGTTTGTAGGCGCTAAGGCGTTTTTCGCGCTGGCTGCCCGCCCGCCGCGCCGCATACTGTGGTATTTGACCGAAAAACCTGGCCAAAACCTCAATTTTAATTTTTTTTTTAGTGGAAAACCAATGTGATATTCGAAATCTACACTGTTTTTTACCCTGGTAGACTTCTATGTACCATTTTTCGAGTGGCTCAATTTCCCGCGAAGAGACCACGAAGTTACCTATTTCTCAGCGATTATTTTGATATGTTTCGGCGCGCTACTCGTCGATCAGTTTACTTCAACTGTGCGATCATAGGAGGGAAGTTCGGCGATATGCAACACATTCTTAGGGGTATATTCTACACAACTAACCACAGTATTTTCGAAATTTCTTTTTTTAGTGATTTTCACAGGAGGTTAAAAAGTGATGTAAAAGTAAATGTTTTTTTCGAAATTCAGAGGCCGATATCTTTTTTCTCTCAACTGTTCTCAAGCAGTTTGAGGCGGGATGTTATAGTCCGAAGTGGGTATTTTCAGGATTCAGGGCTGACAGACTGAGGAAAACTGAGGAAATTGAAATTTTTGACTTTAAAGATGGACTTTTGAGCGATTTTCACAAAAATGAATGGGAAAAATTATGTCGATATGACGACTGAAATTGTATTTTTCCAACAGCTCTGACCCATTTAGTGCCAATTGGGTGATGTTTGGTCACCCAACCTGTTTTTTTGGCCCCTACGCCCTCGAAAGAGGGATTAAAAAAAATAATTTGAAAGCGGATGGGAGGGTCACTTTAAAGTGTTGCATAAGTGTTTAATCCGTTATCTAACAATCTCTTCGTGCATTATCCTTGAGTATAGACATATTTATGCCATGATTTACTTTGACAGACAAATTTGAGTCCATGCGGCCCCGGGGATGGGGCTTTAAAAGTGGCCCTCTGACACCTTGAAATTACGCTGTGAGGCAAATTTGAAGCCTCGTAAAAGTGAGATATGTGGTTTTCTTACAAATTTCTTAGTGAAGTGCCTCACTTTGAAATGTGGGACCATGGGTTAGAAAGGAACCCATCAAAATGAATCTTTTTCACAGGTGCTTTCTGTCCTTACAATGGTTCTTATTATGATAAAACTCATTTTCATCTTATAATTTATCCTCAAATCATCATATGGAGGTCCCGGCACTTTCATATTAGGACTAATTTCGATTCAAAACTGTCAAAAATCTAATATCTAGAATGATTCATATTAATTTTTTTGAGAAATGTACAATTACTCCTCAATGTGAGAGATCGGCTGTTTTGTCAAAAATTTTGAAGTGACTTACGCTGTTTTAAAGAAAAAACCATTGATGAGGTAATAGAAAGTCCTTATTTCGAAAAGTAGACCATAGGTGAAGGAGAAACTCGTCTAAATGCACCGCTTTAGTTACATACTTTGCGTCCTTTTAAAGGCTTTTTGGAGGGCTTCTTGCACCCTCTTTAAACTCTCCGCAAATTGTCATATGATGTGTTGGGTGGTTAAATTGTGCATATTATCACTTAAGAAGAAGTACTGATTGTAAAATATTTTTAAAACTCGGCGATATCTGGTGATAAATAGTTTTGGCCAGCTTTTCAGGTCCAATACCACAGTGTGCGCCGCAGCGTGCCACGACGCTTGAAGCAACTATTTCACACCAGAGGTATTGCACAGTATCATACGAAATTGAAGGCGCTCCAACATATTAGGAATGGCAGGCATCCTTCAAAAGTACGGAGCTTTCCGCGCAAAAGAAATCAAGATACTACGGCCCAAAAACAGGGCGGTAATCCAAAAACAGTCCTAGCATCCGTAATTAGTAACATTTAGCATACACTTTATCGCCTGGCTGTTGCTCAATCGCCATCGGCTATAAAAGGCTATAAGAAATTGTGCAGCCGGCTATAGAAGCTATTGAAAATCTTACAGCCGACTGTAGGCCTATGGTATTTTGGAACACAGATTCTACTGCCAATTTTTACCAGGGTTTTTATGCTTTCGCATACGTTTATGCAGAAATTTTAAATTTTCTCCGCAATAAATCAGGATTAAACTGTCAAAAATCAGGATTTCTCATAATGGAAAAAACTAGACACCCTGCTTAAGCATTCCCTCCCACCCGGAGGGAGGGAATGCCCCCCCTCACCCATCACAGGATTTTCATGAATATTGATTAACTGCATGTATCTTCTGATTCATTATCCTACATCTATACTATAAGCTCCGAGACCTCTTAATTTTGTGTAACTGGTTATGTATACCTAATCGAGGGTGTCATAAAGAAAATGTGTAATCGGGATTTTGTCTTAGAAAAAATGTAAATCGTACAATTTTGTAAAACCGGTTTAATCAAAGCCAAGACAGCTATGTCGGCTTCTAGGAATTGAGGAACTTCGAGCGTTGACAGGCGTTGATCCGGTAATTCACGGCCCCGTTCTCCTAGTTGAACTGCATTTTGCAATTTGGACCTATAAATTCTGGCTCATCTGAAATAACACTTATGTGCATAGAGAAACTAATGGCTTATACGTTGTTTTTGAACCGGGCTAGAATTTATAGCTCCAAATTGTAAAATGTAGTCCAGTTGTCCCATCGAATATTGGAGGCGCCATGCGTTACCGGCATGCATGCACGCAGCAGTTAGCTTTGAGTCCGAGCAACTATTTAAACTCTAAAGAGATCAAACTGCATACCCAGCGAAATGGAGGGATATAAAAGAGTCCAATGGTACATGCTTGAGCTATGTCGCTGTTGACGCCGCTCTATCCTTCCATTGAATATTTTCCGTGTATACAGGTTCGCCGAAATCGTAAGGATTTGACCTACTTCTGTACGTGAGGGCGACTCTGTATAAAGACCTGTTATCGAATTGCTCGCACGCTGCTGGTTTGAATATTTTTTCTGTGTGTCTCTCTTTTCCAGTGAACAACGCACAGTGCCGTAATACAAAGGCTGTTCAAAAAGTACGTAGACTGAAGATGTAACTTGAAAACCAATGTATGTAAAGAGCTGTACTCAAAGATCAACTCATTATCTATCGATTGAGACCAAGATCAACTCATTTGGTTAA